GGGGTGGACTTCCATCGGGTGCCTTTCTTTCGTTGGCCGCCATGACAGCAGTTATGGAAGAAAACTTCGGTCAATGAATCCCAAAATCGGGTGAGAGATGGGTCATTTTGAGCCTGTACAAATGCCAAAATGGCTGCCCAAAACCAAGATCTGTATGGGTTCTCCAAGCTAATCACAGAATTGTACTTCATGGCGATTAGGAGGATATCAATAACGAATCTGTACAGTTGGTTGGCTTTCTTCAGCCTGATGCCTGATGTCGATGCTGGATTAATGTGGGGTAAGCCCAGGGGATGATCGGCAGAGCGCAGTGCTGGAGGCTGAGGGGCCCCCTGAGACTGGCAGCATGAACTTGGCAGAAGCACAAGAGATACATGGCCTCTTAAACTTCGTGACTGGATATTTCGCTGGCAGATCTTTGAAATATGCCTGTTTCAAAGTCTTTTCCTTAGTAAATATGGGTCGCCCCCACATGCCCCAGTTGAGAAACTGGTGTGAAGAGGTTCTTTTGTTACTAAGTAGTGTCCAACCCAGGACCATCCCAATAAACATTAACACTCGAACAGTGTTGGTGTTCACTGACGGGTCTTGGGAAGATGGAATTGCCGGCTTAGGAGCCATCCTGTCGGATGAATCGACAGGGCTTCGTGTAGTGATCCAAGACCGTGTGCAAGAGAACCTCCTTATGCTCTGGAAAGGAGGAAAGGTTCTTCTCTTTGTTGGCAATAATTCGGCAAGGGGGGGGCACCGTCAAAGGCAGATCTAGCAGCCCCACAATGGATGATTTAGTGAAAGCCTTCTATTCGATCGAAGTGCATCTGCCCTCGTTTTTGGTGGGTAGAGAGAGTGCCCAGCAAAAGTAATCCAGCTGATGAACCATCTCGATTTGAGGGCAAAGCGGCAGCACTACGGTGGAAGGCCCACTTCGTTCAGGGGTTCGACTGTCAACCCAAAGTTGCCGATTGGCTAGTCAGAGCAGCAGAAAACAGACGACTCGGTTCTTGAAAGAGGGGGATATGGAAACCGATCCGATCCAGCCACTTTATCAGAAAGTCAAACCAGATCCAATCAGATGGATCAGCCCGCCGACAGGCTGGAAACGAAAGTGTGCAGATCAGAGAGAGAAGTCCGAATCTAAAACCAAATATTCCCGCGATTTGATCAAAAAAGGTTGCTGCGTTGGCGCGTGGGTTGTTTGAGTCAGATGTCCAGTTGTGAAAATTGAGAATAGCAAGGTCATGTTGATCGTTGCTTTTAGGGTCAAGGAGTAGGAGACAAGAAGGGAGTTTACACAACGTGGATAGAATTTTCTTGGATCCGTCGACTTGATCTTTTCATGCTTTGTTGCATGAAATGCCTTAAAAACAACCAACAGAAAACCCAACAGAGGAATTAATTTTATTGGTAAAGTGACTTGTTTGATTTCAATAGAACGATAGATTGAAGACTTTTGGATAAAAATTGAAACATGTGGCATACATCAATGATCACATACAAAACTGAAACACGCCAAATTGTTTAGAAATGTTCAGGTGATGATGAGTCGAATGTCGTGACATTTTGGCTTATAGACCTTCAGCAGAGAAGGCACTAAGAGCGCCTGAACTCTTCATGTTCATGTCATTCTGAAGTGTTGCATCACTTCACAGGGACTTGAACATGTCGACTTGAATGTGGCATCACTAAACATTTTGTTCATTCAAATTTTTGTTTTCCCGCCCTCCCTGACCCTACAACAGGGACAGGGGGGGATATTGAGCGTGTTTCCGTGTGAACCTTCGCACATGAAAGTGTTAAGCGTAGCACCAAGAACGTGTTAGATGTTACATGAAACAGTGCAAAGCGTGTTAGATGCACATGAAACTTTTAGGAGCGTAGCACCAAGAACGTGTTGGATGTTACATGAAATTGTGCAAAACGTGTTATATCTTACATGAAAGTGTTAAGAATGTAGCATCAAGAGCGTGTAAGATCTTACATGAAAATGCTAAGCGCGTAGCACCAAGAGCATCTTAGATGTGACATGAAAGTGTGCATAGAAAATTATTGGCCCCCCAACCACCCTTATGTGACCAGAAACGTCAGAAAGTTTAAAGCAACTGCCCAGAGAAGAGGCGACAGAACGTTATTAGCCCCCCCCACCTACGCGACACATATGAACGTGCATGAGAAAAGAACACGGCAAATATGACGTGTAACAAGACAACAGTGCAAAAATTAGCAAACGGACTGGGGTCGTTAGAGGCGGCGTCAACAAAAACAATGGGTTGCATGATTTCCTGGAAACAAAATCCACTCCACACCTTGCCGTGGTGCCATGTAAATGTTTGTGGAATTTCGGACTGGAATGCAGTTCCACGATTGATTTCAAGAGCGTACATTTTTTTCACAGAACGCACCCCCTATTAACTAAAAATTCAATGTGTGTTTTACGGTGTGTGTCGTTCGTGAACAAATTGGTAGTTTGATTTCTTTCCCCTTCCTGGACCACCGGGGAATTGATTTTGCTATCTGGATCGTCGGAACCTCAATTTGATTCTTGACCGTGTTTGATTATATCCATTCAATTTGATTTTTGGACGTGTTTGATTATATCCATTGGGCCAACGTGAACGATGCCATGCAGAAACAACATCAATTGAATCAACATTTTAGCCGAAAACGATGCATTTAAAAACGCGCATCATGAATCATGAGATCAATATGATTCAAATGAATGTTGGCACCGAAAGGCATACATATCATAAATTATTCCAATGGGTTGAATGTGAACAAATCGTCATTTTGGAAAATTGTTTCGGCATTGCGTGGTCGAATTGCCAAGATTGGACCTTATGATCAAAATTATGCAGCGTTTGTGCATGCAAATGTTTCAATATCACCCTCTCCGCATTTGAGGTTTCAAACATGTTGTTCTAGATCAAAACAAGGTTTCACACATTACTTGTTGGTCCAAAGTATGAAATGCCATCCAATATATTTTTGCAAGTCGGATTCAAATGCTCAACGGTTTTTTGTTGCAAAGTGATTCAGCAGATACAAAAGCACAATGGTGGACCTGTGCCAATGGTTTTGTGGAACAACATCATTTGTGTCACATCTCTTGTCAAATAGTGTGGTGTGCAATGAGAAGCATCGGCCGACATTGGCCTGCAACTGATGGCTTCAATGGCGGGACAATCAAACTGTTGTTGTGTACGTTACTCCACTGCCTGTGTTTGTTTTGCATAGATTACACTGGTCGCGAACCACAGGACATCATGCGGTTCCACTTCTGGGCATCAGTTTTCTCCACTGAAAAATTGCCAAGAACGGTGGGTTGGACATCACTTGGATGCAGAGGACTTTTGCAGCACCTATACACCTGAACAATGAAATCAATGGAATTTGACAGGACGATGATTGGATGATGTGTTTTTGTTTGTATGCTTCATTTTGAATGAAAATGGATGCGAATGGGTTCCGCGCAAACTGCAGGAAACAGCAGAAACCATTTCGTCAATGCAAAGGCTTTTGATTGAACAGCAAGATGTCATGCACTGTCATGAAGAGACTATTCAAAATTTGGACGCACGGTGTTTGTCGCAGAAACATCAACAACTCAGTAAAACAATAGTTCGTATCGTTTTTTTCAGGGACGTTCAATTTTTGATTTGTTTCAAACTGTGCGTTCTGTTTTCAAGGCAACTGCATGTTGAACGGCGACTGGCTGAATTGGCTGGTGGTTTGAAAACGCTGAAACAAGAACAGCAGGCCAATGTTGTTGGCCGTGAAATTGTTTTTTCTTGACAAATACGGTACCGTGGTGAATGAGACAGTCATAATTTTGCATGAATGAATATTTTTGCTGATGTTTTCGTGAGTTGTGGGATTGCAGAATGAATCATTATTGTCATTGTCCACATCTGTTCATATCGACAGGCCCAAGACAGATGCCTCCATAATTTGCAGGCTGATTTTTTTTGCACGTGCTGCAAGAAGGAATTCTTGTGATACGGATGCTTCGTGTGGTACTGTTAAGTTATGTTCTGTACATCAATTTTTCAGTAAACATTTGAGTTTGTGCCCTGGTTTTGACAGCAGACACATTGTCACCGATTCCTACAAAATATTGGAGCCGTGGCCTGACTTTGGTTCAATTTTTGCAAGCAACTTGCTGGTATGGTTCATGAAACATGTGCAAGAATCAATGGATTTCCAGTGGTAGGTCATTGTTGGATTCCCCTCGTAGGTTATTCCTGTGCCAAAAACCGGATGTATTATACGGGGTCTGAAGGTTATAAAGTATCTCTTCCACTTCTGAAGAACAATAGATAAACTCTTCCAGTACCGCACTTGCGGCTTTGTTTGTTCTTTTACTAGTGACAGCTTGGGTTGCTGCTTTCCAGCGCAGCCATGGACAGTCCCGATGGGCCAGATGGAGGATTGCAACAAAGACATACATGTATCATACATGGGCCAATCATGGGTCTTCAAAAGATTGACATGATGCTGACTATTCAGACAGGGTGATGCAAAGGATATTGTATGCTGACACCCACTGAGATCTGGCATCCGACAGGAAAAAGAAAGAAAAGTTCCCGGCCACTGCTGACAACTAAGCTGATACAATGCAAGTCTTAAGTCGTATTCGCGCGCAACATACTTTGCGCTGCGAGTTTGAACAAACTTTCTGTTGTGCAGCAAGTTGCTAGCAGTCCTACAACCCAGGTTCCTGAACAGAGATATAGTGATCAAACGACTACATCATCGTCAGCAAAGCAAGAAGGACCGGCTCCCAGTCCAGCCAAGCGTAAAGGTTGTTCCAAGTGGCAGATACCCACAGGAATTGATACTAACTTCAGCAAGCAGCAACCCCTCCTGCAATCTGTTTGAAAAAGGCTTCTAGGGAACTATTAGGGAACTCTTCTCATTCGAACCATGCTACCTTTTCCGCTCCAGAGTCTTAGATGCTACAAAAAGGCGATATCAGTGCTCAGCTTGATTCCAAGGCCAGTCCGATGGTTCTTCTCAAAGAAACTTGGCCTTGCTTTGGTTTATCACCAGCTTCGCTCTGTAAGACTGAGCAAGATTTAGGCTCAGAACCAGAACATGTTGTGGCATGTGTCTTTTAATGTTGTGCCTACCTGCTGTTGCACTGAAATTCCGCAGTCCTTCGCAGTCCTGAGAGTCCTGAGCCGTCAGATTTGGAAGTTTTCGTCCCTCTCAGGACATTTTTGAGGAGACCCCCGACAAAGATCGTTTTGTCGGAGACGTCATGTTCTGGAAATTCTTCGAGGATATTGATGCCAACAGAATCTACCACACCAACTCCGTGGAGTACAGGACGGTTTCTTCCTTGCCACGTGCATTGACCTCCATGCAAGCGGTAGGTATAGTAGGCAGAGTTGACATAGTAGGCATAGACGGCAATACATGGCAATACCGCACTTGCAACGACAGCCACCCTGCAGAGGAATTTGAAGGTCATGTTCTTCGAAACGCTCTTCTACTTGGTGTTGTTGCCTCTTGTTTGAACATCACTAGATCATTAGTCCACCAAGTCGGCACAGTCCTTGTCTCTACATGATCTCTGCATGGCTCTGCGGATTTGAATTTGAGTCTTTTCTCTTGGACTCTTGGATTTGTATTTCAAGATCTTCTGAGTGATCATCTGTCACACTTTCCACCTCACTGCACTTCAGGGGATCTGTCACAGCCTATGCTTATAACTTGCAATCGCAGGACCAGGGGCATAAGCTGTCACCTTGCTCATGCCACAGTCGAGTAATCGCAATGCTTGTGTTTAGTCTTGTGGGAAAGAGCTGCATTGCAGGATGTATTCGAGAGCCGTATCGAGCAACTGGACTACTGGAGAGGTTGCGACACTGATGGCAATTGCCGCATTCAGAAGGCGGGAACTTTTTGGGCACCCAGTTGGAAGCGCTACAAGACTTGATGGAAAGAGCTTTTGATTTGCTGGTCTTTTTTCCTGTGCCTTTTGCTTTAAGGTTTGACTCAAATCATCAGTTGAAAGTAGATTGTATGACTGCATAACCTACTGGAAACCAAGATTTTGTTTTTCTTACTGCAGCTTAGATGAAGGGTGCAGAGGCTGTCTCCATCTCCTGATAGTGCTTTCTTGTCTTCTTATCTTCCAATGTCGAAGTTTGAAATTTTATCCGGCTTGCCCCTGATTCAGAGTGCTTTGAAGCCAGACAATTTCGGAGGTAGAAGATGTTGCCAGCTTTTGGACATGGATGCAGTGCTAAGCTCAGCTTGCCTATCTTTGCCGAAAAACCAAACTAGAAAGCGCAAAAACCAAGGTGGTCCATCTTCATACAATGTTCCACAGATGTTGTTGCTCAAGGTTATGCAAACCTCTTACAAAACATGTGCAGATCATGCTGATACAAGACTTGTATTCGCTGGTGATGGGGCATTGTTGTTGAACTTGTGACCAAGCATTATTCTTGTGGATGGGAGTTCAGTGCTTTCAGTGGAGCAGAAACTGTGTGGGCGGAGTGAAGCTTCCCTAAAGCAGTACAGGAATGAGCTGGTTCCGCTTGCCTACACGGATGACGTAGATGCACCAAAGGTTGCACAGATAGAGACGGTCTTTCCGAATCTCAATTGCAGAAGGGTCAATGCTTCTTCTTTCCAGTTTTCCTTGTTTTGAAACTATGACAACACACATGCACATATTTAAACGCTTACGCGCGACAGCCGGCCAGGGGCCCAACTATGTTGGCCCATCTTGTGGCGATGTTGGCCTATGTTGGCCTATCTTGCGGGCTATGTTGGCCCAGCTTGGGGCTATGTTGGCCCATCTTGGGGGCTATGTTGGCCCATCTTGGGGCTATGTTGGCCCATCTTGGGGGCTATGTTGGCCCATCTTGAGGCTATGTTGGCCCATCTTGAGGCCTATGTTGGCACATTTGCGATGTTTGTGCAAAAACATGTTGAATGTCACAGGGCCAAAAAACACTGTAAATTACAGGGGGTTCTGTCGACACGCGCACCCCACCGCGAGGTCGGCGGAAGGGGCGGCGGCCCCTCTCTCCTACGGAGAGGAGAGAACCGCCTACGGCAATGGAAGGAACTTTTATCAGTATAGGATGCTTTGGGAGAGACTGGAATTGAAGGGAGTCAGAGGAAAAGGCATTGCTGGAGGTGTATTTTTGTCGCTTTCTCTTCTACCCCTATCTGTTGGGCTCCGATATGGGATCATTGTGGTCGCAAGGATTAGAAGGAACTTCTGTCAGTATGGGATGTGGACGGGCACTGTTCACGGTCGCACGGATTAAAAGGAACTTCTGTCAGTATAGGATGTGGACGAGAATGTACTCGTCGACTTGTATTTGTTGGGCTCCGATATGGGACCATTACGGTCGCAAGGATTAGAAGCAACTTCTGTCAGTATACGATGCTTTGGGAGAGGCTGGAATAGAAGGGAGTCAGAGGAAAAGGCATTGCTTGGAAAGGTCGCTGGAGGATGTGGGCGAGCATGTGCTCGTCGTATCTGTTGGGCTCCGATGTGGGACCATTATGGTCTCAAAGATGAGAAGAAACTCCTATCAGTATAGGATGTGAAGTTAGGAATTTTTGGAAGGGGTGACGAAAATATGCAGTGGGGTCTCCTGGTCCGTCCGGTATAGAGACTGGAATAGACTGGAATAGAATGAGGCCAGAGGCAAAGGCATTGCTTGGAAAGGTGGGAACTCAATGGCTACTTTTCTTTATATCCCTTTCTCTGACTCCTACAGGCGTATCTGTTGGGCTCCGATGTCAAACCATTTCTGTCGCAAGAATTAGAAGAAATTTCTGTCAGCGTAGGATGTGAAATTCGGAAACTTGGGAGGGGGGGACGAAAATATGCAGTGGGGTTCGATGTGGGACCACTATTCTCTTGGACCGTTTGAGGGAACTTCTGTCAGCATGGGATGTGAAATTAGGAAGCTTTGGAAAGGGATGATAACATAGCAGAAGATGACACTGCTGTGTCGGCTCCGTCAATGCTTTTTGATTTTTTTTGGTGAAGTTAGGAAGCTATGGAAAGGGGTGAGGAAAATATGAGGTGAGGAGGGCAGAGGCAAGGTTCCGTGAATGGAGGCACAGTCGCTATGGAGAAGAAACTTCTGTCGGTATAGGATGTGCAAGTAGGAAACTTTGGAAGGGTTCATGAAACTATGAAAATATGAGCGTAAGGATGCTTGAAAGTCTGAGGGCGAAAGGTTTGCAGGTGAAAAAGTCTGTGGGTGAAAAGTCTGTGGGTGAAAAGCCAGTGGAAGCAGAGTCTCTGGGAGAGGAGTCGGTGGGTGAAAAACATAGGTGAAACGTGTATGCGTGAAAAGTCTGTGGGTGAAAAATGTGACAAGGCTGTGCGTGAAAAGTCTGTGGGTGAAAGTCTCTGGGCGAAAAGTGTGTGGGTGAAAAGTGCGCGGGTGAAAAGTCCGTGGGTCAAAAGTATATGGGTGAAACGGGCATGGGTGAAAAGTCTGAGGGTGAAAAGTATATGGGTGAAAAGTCTGTGGGTGATACGTCTGTGGGTGAAAAACCTGCAGAAAAAGAGTGTCTGGGTGAAGAGTCTCTGGGTGAAAAGTATAATATATGTGCAAAGTCTGTGGCTAAAGAATCTGTGGGTGAAAAGTCTGCGGGTGATAGGTCTGTGGGTGAAAAGTGTGGGTGAGAAGTTTATGGTTGAACTCAACGGTTGAACAGCCTGTGGGTGAACAGTGTGTGGGTGAAAAGTCCGTGGGTCAAAAGTATATGGGTGAAACAGGTATGGGTGAAAAGTCTGAGGGTGCAAAGTTTGTGGGTGAAAACTTTGTGGGCGAAAAGTGTATGGGTGAAAGTCTGCGGGTGAAAAGTCTGTGGGTGAAAAGTCTATGAGTGAAAAATATATTGGTGAGAAGTTTCTGGGCGAAAAATGTATGGGTGAAGAGTATATGGACGAAGAAAAGTATATGGGGGAAAAACCTGAGGGTAAAAAATATATATTGGTGAAGAGTCTCTGGGTGAAAAGTCTGGGGGTGAAAGGTATATGGGCGAGAAGTATATGGGTGAAAGACTGTGGGTGAAAAGTCCCTGGGTGAAAAGTATATGGGTGAAAAGTCTGTGGGTGAAAAGTATATGGGGGAAAAGTCTGTGGGTGAAAAGTATATGGGGGAAAAATTGAGGGTAAAGTATATTGGTGAAGAGTCTCTGGGTGAAGAGTCTCTGGGTGAAAAGTCTGTGGGTGAAAAGTGTGTGGGTGAAAAGCTCGTGGGTCAAAAGTACGTCTAAAAGTATACAGGTGAAACGGGTATGGGTGAAAAGTCTGAGGGTGCAAAGTTGGTGAAAGTTCCTGGGTGAAAAGTATACATGTGAAAAGTCTGTGGCCCAAAAGTCTGTGGGTGAAAAGTGTGCACGTGATAAGTTTGTAGGTGAAAAGTGTATGGGTGAAAGTCAGTGGGTGAAAAGTATATGGTTGAACAGCCTTGGGTGAAAAGTATATGGGTGAGAAATATATGGGCGAAAGACGGTGGGTGAAGAGTCTGTGAGTGAAAAGTCTGTGGGTGAAAAGTATATGGGGAAAAAGTCTGAGGGCAAACAGTATATTGGTGAAGAGTCTCTGGGTGAAAAGTCTGGGGGTGAAAAGTATATTCTTGAACAGTCTGCGGGTGAAAAGTATATGGGTGAGAAGTATATGGGTGAAAGACTGTGGGTGAAAAGTCCCTGGGTGAAAAGTATACGGGTGAAAAGTCCGTGGGTGAAAAGTATGTGGGTGAAACGGGCATGGGTGAAAAGTCTGAGGTGCAAAGTTTGTGGGTGAAAAGTCCATGGGCAAAAAGTGTATGGGGGAAAAGTCTGTGGGTGAGAAGTATATGGTTGATCCGTCTGTGGGTGAAAAGTATATGGGTGAGAAGTATATGGGTGAAAGGCTCTGGGTGAAAGCCTGTGGGTGAAAAGTATATGGGTGAGAAGTCTGTGGGTGAAAAGTGGTTGGGGGTGAAAATCTGAGATTGGCTGTTGATCATCTTGCCACATATGCTACAGCAAATCACGCCGCCAGCTTCGGATCCATCCCCCTTTTGTGGGGTCAGCACCTGATCGCTGCCTGAACAAAGACTTGCGGCCATCCATCAGTGTGCTCCTGTGGTGCCTGATTCATTAGAAGCCCCCAAATTAGTGAACTTGCATTGTGCATATCTACGATCTTTGGTGAACCTGACCAGGGGGCTCTCGCATGGTAGCGGAGCCTGGCAGGCACCAATAGATCTGAGCCATGGCGACCATGGGGAACAAGGAGGACTCAGTGGACTTCAAGTATCCCACATGGGATGGTGACTGGAACAAATGGACGGACTATCAGCTGCGTGTTGAGTTGAGAGCTGATGGACTGAAAGAGGAGGACCAGAAACTTCTAGGACCTCGGCTTGCATCCAATCTGACTGGAAAGGCCTTTGACAGTCTCGCTGAGATTGACAGAGAGAAGTTACGCCAACCCGATGGGTGGCAGTACTTTCTCAAGTTTCTCGAGAAGACTCGAGGCCGTGAAAAGGTAGATCTTCTTGGAGATGCTTTCAACGAGTTCTTTGTGCGCAAAGAAGTCTACCGCAAGGACGGTGAGGAGTTTTCAGAATATGAACCCAGATTTCGAAGTCTGACCAGAAGATTAGAGAAAGCCCTCAAAGAATCAGGATCAGAAGGCAAACTGCCAACAGAAGTCCTTGGCTGGTTCCTGTTGAACTGCTATATGAGGATGGATCCATCGGACATCGCCAATGTTCGTGGATGCTCAGAGTCATACAAGCTGGAACACGTGGTGGCCTCCCTTCAAAAGATGTGGAGTGGAGGCGGCCTAGCTGCCAAGGATCAAGAGATGCGTCGTCGCCGAAAAGATGGTGGACAAGCCTTGCTGGTTGATGAGCCTTCTCGACCTGATGAAGGGGAGGTCTACCAGAATGTGGACGAAGATGTGATGGAAAGCCATGCCGCCACCAATGATGAAGAGCTTGAGGAATTGGCCACTTGGTACCAAGAAGCCTATGTTGCACTCGTAGATGAGCCTGATGATACTGAGATACTTGCCAACTTCAAGGATGCTCGTCGTGCCCTGGACCAAGCTAGAACGGCGAGGGGTTTTTACCCTGTGAGACACCCTGACAGTCAAAAAGGTCGTGGTAAGTCTCAGGGCAAGGGGAACTACAATCGAGACAATGAGCATGCCAACAAGACCTGCATTCGGTGTGGGAAGCGTGGCCACATTGCTCGTATTTGCCCACAACGAGCTCAAAGTGATGGCAAAGGCCAAAGTGGAAAAGGAAGTGGCAAGGTGGGTTTTGTCGGTGTCCAATGGCAAGAACCAACTGCAGAGAATGCATGTGATAAAGGTGACGAGTGTGCACAGGTCTGGGCCACGACTGGCCATGAAAACCAACTTCGTGGCAAGGCTGTCCTGGATAGTGGTGCCTCAGATAACGTGATTGGAGTGAACACTTTGCAAGATCTCGCAGACATGTACGAGGAGCTTGGCCTCAACACTGAGGACGAGTTTGAGATCGACCGTAACATCCACAAGAGCTTTGTCTATGGTGGTGATCACAGTAGCAAGGCTCTGGCACTTGCACACCTGAACCTTGGTGTCTTGGGAAATGAGATGATGGTCGATGTGCATGTTGTGGAGGGCAGTACACCTTTGCTGCTCAGTGCAAAGTTCCTCTATGATTCCCGAGCCACCATTGACTTCCGAAAGGGGACAGCTGTCTTTGAGGGCATCAACCATGAAGCGTATCAGCTGGAAAGGAGTCCAGGTAATCATCTCCTTCTACCAGTCACTGTCTTTGGTGGGCGCCGTGGACTGATGAGATCTACTGAGATGTGGCCTCCTGCGGTTCCTGTACTGAGTGCGCCTGAGTCAGATCCGGACCCAAAGGGGGATGAACCGAAGCTCTAGGGACAGCTCCACCAGGATTGTAATGGACATCCTGAACATGGGATGAGGGTCTTGAGTGGAGATAGGAACCTAGATTCACAATTCAGTGCAACCAATTTTGATGATGGTTTCTGTGTTTTTGTGGAGCCTCCTGATGATGTTGGGGACGCACAGTACCAATTCATGGGTGACTGTAAGCGGGAGTGCGCGCAAGAGCTCCAAGATACCATGTTGGCTGGAGTGGGTGACATTCTCAACCTCATAGGTGAAAGTTCGTTGGATTTGTTGGAAGTTTGTGCACCTTGGGATGCACCACTGACCCAAGCAGTGAAGGATGCAGGGGGACGGGCTATGGCTGTTGGGATTCATAATGGGTATGATCTCACCACCAATCAGGGTTTCAAAGATGTTTCCAAGTTAATCAGAGAATATAAACCCCGGTACCTTCATGTTAGCCCACCTTGTGATCCATGGACTGCTTTTTCGAATTGTAATCAACGAACTGAGGAACAAGTGTCTCGGCTTCATGAACGCCGTAGGATCAGTCGACGTTTGCTAAGGAACTGTCGTAGGCTTTTGGAAATTCAGGTACAAGAATTGAACGGCAGTGTAGGACTGATACCGGACATGGGACCACACCATGGGGGAGGTGAACACCCACTTCATGCACAGAGCTGGAGGGTACCTGACATGAGAAAAATGGTTCGGTTGTGTGGTGAACGTTTTGCTGTTCATGTTTGTATGCATGGCATGTGTAGTAGGGATACACGTGAACTTGTCAAGAAACCATGGGGTTGGTTTTCCACACATGCTGGAATCAGAAAAGCTCTGGAACGAAAGTGCATTCATGGAACTGGAGCACACCGCGTCATCCAAGGTAGCATCACTTCATCCACAGCAGTTTATCCTCCTTTGTTGTGTCGTCGTTTTGCCAAAGCCTTGATGCAAGACGTTGTTGATTTGTTTCCTATTTTTCAAAGCTGTGAGGTGAAGGATTCAACCGAAAACAACAGTTTTGATTTTGATCCCACTCACGCCATTTTGGCTGAAGGGGTGGCAGGTGCTGAGGACAATATCAATGCTGCACCCGTTCCTGATAGGGAGGAACAAGACCAACCTCAAGCACCTGGGGACGATAATAGAGAATCTGAGGAGGACACTGGGAATGATGCCGCATATAAACAAATGATTCGTGATGCTCACCGGAATTTGGGTCATCCTGGCAAAGAATCCTTTATTAGGCTGTTGAAAGATGCTGGTTCCAAACCCCGAATCATTCAACTTGCTGAAGAATTTGATTGTCCTGATTGTCTCATGAGGGGTAGGAGAAGTACTGTCCGCCAGTCTGTTGTTCCCAAAATCTATGAAAAATGGCAGTGTGTTAGTGTTGATTCCTTTTGGTGGCATACTCCTCGTGAAGCCTTGAAACCCGGGGAAAAACCTCAGTACTGTATTGGGATTAGTATGATGGATGAAGCCACTGACTTCCACTGTGCCGCAATCATCAGATCTGGTTTTGAGAAACCTTTTCGAAATATTTCTGGAGCTGATTTCAAACAGGCTTTTGAGAAGACCTGGCTCCAGTGTTTTCCTGCACCCTCTTGCTTGCGCTACGATGAAGAAGGGTTTCTTAGAAAAGTGGAAGTTATTGAGTGGTTGGAAACGTTTGGCATGAAACTTGAACCTATTGCGGGAGAGTCGGCATGGCAAGCTGGGAAACATTCCAAACATCTTCAGACTTTGAAAGAACAAATGAATTTGTTGAGTATGGAACTTGGGAGTGATCGTGATTGTAATCAGTTGTTAGCCCTAGCAGTCAGTGCCAAAAACTCCATGCATCAGGTGCGAGGATACAGTCCTAATCAATGGGCTTTCGGACAAAGCCACAGTAGGTTGTCTTCCTTCTTGCAGCAGTATCAAAACATGCCACTGCAGTCACGTCGTGAAGACCTGACCTTTGAGGAGAATCTTCAAACTGAGGTCACTGCCCAACGTTTGTTTTTGAAAGTGGATGCACAGCGAAGGCTCTCTCGAGCTCTCCATTCGAAATGCCGACCTTTGAAAGAGTTCCAATTGGGCGAACTCGTCTATTACTTTCGAAGAGGAGTGAAAGAGGGATCACGGTATGGGGGACATTGGCATGGACCAGCACGTGTTTTGACACATGAAAAGACTTCCTCTTATGAAACTGGACAACATTTGGGATCTGTCGTTTGGATTTCACATGCTGGTAAAATCCTTAGATGTTCACCTGAGCAGCTACGTCCTGTGCAGCATGATTTGAGACATCTGGACAAGGACATTAATGGACCACGAAACTTCTTTGATTTGTTGGAAGGCATCAAAAATCAACAAAGGTATCTAGATCTGACTTCTGATGTCGAAGCCATGACACGTCTTGACACGCAAGAACCTGATGTTCCTCATTTTAGGGCTCGAGGCAAAAAGCCACTCAGTGAACTCCGCTATCCTGACGAAGCATTCGGTGACACAACCCGAGAGCGCAATGTCGATGCCAAGCGCCGACCTGAAGACTCTGTTGGACCTTCAGGACAAGAAGGGACAAGTGAGCCGAGAGGAGATTCAGAGCATGTCGCTCGAAGACCTCGGCTCGATGAAGATGGACCAAGGGGAACGCCACAAGGGGCACCTCTTCCAGGAGATCTACAAGGACAAGAGCTACAACCGTTGGGTGGCAAGCCACATCAAGGACGACGACCCAGTCTTCCGCACCATCCACAAGTACAAGATCTACCTGCATCGTCGTCTGGCTCAGGAGCTCGAGGAGGAGAATGTCCTGGGACATCCAGGAAGCGGAAGCCATCAACTTCCCCTGAAACCTTCGAACGTGAAGAAGGTGCACACCAAGGAGGGGTCCCGCCAAGCAGCAGAACTGGAAGCCATGGGTCAGTTGACTCCAATGCCCATTCCGGACGACGAGAGCCTGTCTCATTGGAGCCAGGTGGAGAACATGGAGAACGACATTCAGAACCTCCACAATGGCAACGAGCAGCTGCACCAACGCATGGCGCAGATGGAAGCCTGCATGGCCCAGATTCTCACGGTCTTGCAGTCGGGACCACATGGAGCGTTGAGCCAGGAGAACACGAACTGAGTGAGGGATGCCAGAATTCAAGAGAGTCCGTAGGTGTGAGAACAACCTTTTGCTGTCAGGACACTGCGAAGACAGTGTCTGGAGAACATGTGTCTAGTGACTTGTTGAAAAATTTCACTGCTTATGTTCAAGAACTTGATGTTATTCAAATGGAGTTAGTACTTGCACCTCGTGACGTCCACCGACAAAAGAGTGCCTGGGTGATCAATGCGAAGGTTAAGAAGGGAGCTGAAGTTGTTTTGAGAAAACTCTTACCTCATGAACAACAGCAGTTTGATGAAGCCATGAAAAAGGAAATTGACTCCTTTCTTTCCAGTGATGCTGTTCAAATCTGTTCTGCGGCTGGCATTCCAGAGGAACGCATTATGCAAATGCGTTGGATATATACTTGGAAAGTGGTCACTGATAGCGCTGGTAATGAAACTGGGAAACGTGCAAAAGCTCGGTTGATCATCAAGGGTTTTCAGGATCCTAGACTCCTCCACTTGCCCAGAGAATCTCCCACACTTTCTACTCTGGGTCGAAACATGTTGTTGACATGCGCTGCCAGGAAACACTTTCCCGTAGCCTCAGGAGATATCAAAACAGCTTTCCTGCAAGGTGGTAAAACCGAACTTCAGGACGAACTATATGGAATGCCACCTCCAGAAGTGCGAACTGCCCTGTCCATGAAAGACAATGAAATCCTGCGTATTGCAAAAGCTATTTATGGCCTCTTGAATGCACCAAAGCGTTGGTTTGAGTCTCTCAGTACTTTCTTGATTGATGATGGTTGGATTCCCCATAGTCTTGATAAGTGTTTATAAACGAATTGATGAAAACAACAAAGTGTGTGGGTATCTTGGGTTTCATGTTGATGATGTTTTGTGTGCTGGACGGGGCGTTGAGTATGAGCGTAGTCTGGAACGACTTCGACAAAAAATTCACTTTTGGGTCTTGGGCTGAAGCCCAAAAGGAAAGCCTCATGTACTGTGGCTGTGAAATCACTCAGGATTTCAATTTTGCTATTCATGTCAACCAAGAACGGTTTGCTCTGAGTATTGATGAAATCAATGTGTCACAAGAGCGTAGAAACGAAACGTATGAACCAGTGACTCATTCAGAGCGCCGTTTGATGCGACAAGCTTTGGGAGCTTTGAACTGGAGAGCAACTCAAAGTGCACCTTGGATGTTGGCCACGGTATCTCATTTGCAAGGATGTGTTGAACAAGCTTGTGTTGGAGATCTTTGTTCTGTCAATAAATTGGTTCGGTTGCAAAGAAAACATTTTAATCGTGGTTTGGATTTTGTTCCTGTTACTGGTGATGCCACGGTGGTCACTTTCACGGATGCTAGTTGGGCTACCCGTAAAGATGATTCCAGTCAAGGTGGTCAGATTACCCTCCTTATGCAGAAAGGTGTTCTTTGGGGAGAAAAGACTTCTTTTTGTGTTTTGAATTGGACTAGCCGTAGACTTCGTAGGGTAGCTCGATCTTCCACGAGTGCTGAAGCCCAAATGAGTGCCAATGCCCTGGACAACCATGAATTTGTCAAACTGGCTTTTGTGGATGTTGAGTGTACTCAGAAAATTGATTTGAGACATACTGATGAATATTTGTCCTCTTTTGAGTCCACCATGGTCTGCGATGCTAGGAATATTTTCGATGGAATTGTCAAGGTTGAAACTTCAGGACTTCAGATGGAGGAAAAGAGAACCGCCATTGAGCTTCTTGCCATAAAGGAACGGCTGCAGCAAGCTAGGGTCACACTTAAGTGGGTTGATGGTGAACAGGAAATGGCCGATGGGCTCACTAAGCCTTGGAAACATGAGCCACTTTTGAGAGCACTTCAACAGGGTGTTTGGAGAATTGTGTATGATCCCACTTTTCAGTCGGCCCGCCGAAAAAGGGCTATGCGTCTCCAGCAGAACCAAAGTGATGTCTATTGGTTGCACACGGTACTTTCCCTGGCTGATGATCAAAAGAAAATTTTGAAGCCATGAAAATCTGAGATTGGCTGTTGATCATCTTGCCACATATGCTACAGCAAATCACGCCGCCAGCTTCGGATCCATCCCCCTTTTGTGGGGTCAGCACCTGATCGCTGCCTGAACAAAGACTTGCGGCCATCCATCAGTGTGCTCCTGTGGTGCCTGATTCATTAGAAGCCCCCAAATTAGTGAACTTGCATTGTGCATATCTACGATCTTTGGTGAACCTGACCAGGGGGCTCTCGCAGGGGGAAAATAGGGGTAGATGGGAGGCTGGCTTCCGTTTCCCCCTTCTCAGGTTTACACATGTTTGACACATTTTGCGGCCCAAGCTGCATGGCTTTGTGACGCATCCGCAACAGCCAAACACCACCTAATTTCGTGCCCAAAACGTAGCGAAAGGAACCACAAAAAGGTGCCTAACGTCCCTTCTGAAACCCTACTAAAGCTCAGGCTTTTCAGCTTTTTACGCATGTTTGCCCACATCTTGTGGCCAGCGAGCCTGCCAAGCACAAGCTGCATGGCTTTGTGACGCTTCGCAACAGCAAAGCACAACCGAATTTCGTGCCCAAAAAGTAGCAAAGGAACCCCAGAAAAGTCCCTAACGTCCCTTTTGAAACCCTACTAAAACTGAGGCCTTTCAGCTTTTTACGCATGTTTGCCACATCTTGCGGCCAGCGAGCCTGCCAAACACAACCTGCATGGCTTTGTGACGCATCCGCAACAGCAAAACACAACCTAATTTCGTGCCCAAAACGTAGCAAAGGAACCCCAGAAAAGTCCCTAACGCCCCTCCTGAAACCTTACTAAAGCGCATGTTTGCCACATCTTGCGGCCAGCGAGCCTGCCAAGCACAAGCTGCATGGCTTTGTGACACATCCGCAACAGCAAAACACAAATTAATTTCGTGCCCAAAACGTAGCAAAGGAACCACAAAAAGGTGCCTAACGTCCCTTCTGAAACCCTACTAAAGTTCAGGCTTTTCAGCTTTTTACGCATGTTTGCCCACATCTTGTGGCCAGCGAACCTGCCAAACACAAGCTGCATGGCTTTGTGACGCATCCGCAACAGCAAAACACAACCGAATTTCGTGCCCAAAAAGTAGCAAAGGCACCCCAGAAAAGTCCCTAACGTCCCTTCTGAAACCTTACTAAAGCTCAGGCTTTTCAGCTTTTTACGCATGTTTGCCACATCTTGCAGCCAGCGAGCCTGCCAAGCACAAGCTGCATGGCTTTGTTCTGAATCCCTAGAGCCAGCAACATCTCATAGACCAGCTGCTGCTACTGCCGTTGCAATTGCACGGAAAGAGTGCCTAATGCGACTTCTGAAAACCTGGAGAAAGGAACATCCCACAAACCTGCTGCAGCTACTGCCGTTGCTGGTACTACTCTTTGACAGCCGCTGCCACAAACCCCCGTGCCCCGTCCCTGCCACCTGTGCTCTCGTTACTGGCTCCTGTTCTTGTGTATTTTAGCTTCTGTGACTGTGGTTGTAGTTGTGGTTATCGTTATGGTTATTGTTGTCGTTGTCGTTGTCCTGGTTGTGGTTGTGGTTGTTGTTGTCGTTGTTGTTGTTGTTGTTGTTGTCGTTGTTGTTGTTGTTGTCGTCGTTGTTGTTGTTGTTGCTGCTGTTGTTGTTGTGGTGGTGGTGTTGGTTGTTATACAGTAGTTGTCATGATTGTGGTGTTGGTGTTGGTGTTGGAACTCTTATTCCCTGGCGCGCACCCCCTTGGGTCTGCCGGGGTCGGCGGATATATATATATATATATACACATGAACCGCATGTTTTGTACGTTTGCTTGAGGCTCAATGGGGGTATGAGCAGACCTTCTGTAGGCCCCTCGGTTGAGGAAGTCAGGGAGTCTTTAACTAGGCTTTCTATCGCGTCGCAGCCATCGGCCTCGGGACCTACTGAAGGTGAACCTGAAAGGGAGCCAAATTTTGGAACACCACGATCAACACCTGCTACTGAGAGCTCTCAATCTGAATCTGAGGAGGAGGTAGCAAGCACTCCACGTGCAGCTGATCCTCCCGATACCAGGTGGTACGCTGTGTGGCGTATCCCTCGGGCCTCCAGTGGAACTTTTGTGGGCATACACACTAGTGTGGGGAACCTTGCCTACTGTCGGATCTTGGGGGCAAATCAAAACGATTTTCCGAGTATCAGATTCAAACGCGCAGACACCAAGGAAGAGGCACAGCGCCTATTCCGTGAAGAAGCAGCGGTACACGACGTGGACCCAAACTTGGCTGACACAATCTTCAGATGGTCATAAGAGCTGGATCCGTTGTTTACATCAAGTTGGACGATTTCAATCCACCCTGGCGTCAAGCGGTTGTTTTGACAGAAAAGAGGAACAAGTTGATTTTAGCTGTTAGGGTGACCAGTCTAGAGACAGGTGCCGAGACAGCTGCCTCGGGCTACACCAAGTTTGAATGCGAGGGATGTCGCTTCTTGCTGGTCGAGGGAGCTCCCGCACAGGTGAGACTACAGTGCAATCAGTCCATGAGAGGGCTAGAAGTAGCCGCAACCATTGTGCAGTCTGTGGGTTTGGTTACACTGCAAAAAGAGGATCTTCACTATGCCACTGCGTCGGAAGACGTTCCTGCCGAACCGGTGCCTGCGCCGAAGGCAGACGGGAAGGCAATGAGCGATTCGTCAAGCGAGTCCTCAGACGAGGGCGAGGGCAGTGGGAAGGAGATTCTGGATTTGCTGAGCCGAGCAAAAAGAGGTGGTCAAGGTTTGGCTACCAGTTCAGAAAAACCCAAAGAAAGCACAAAGAAGGTTGCCAGTCGTTATGCACTGCTCCGGGCAGACTCCGAGAAGGATCAGCGGGATTCTTCAGGTGGCATAGAGACTGTTTTGGAAAAGATTGCAATTGGGGGCAACCAAGAGGTGGCCAGCAGCAGGATCAATGCCTTGATCACCATGGAGTTGCTGAAGGTGCTGAAGGGAACAAAGAAAAAATCCAAGGCGCCACCGTCGGACCCAGAGGAAAGCCAGGACAGCAGTTCTCAGTCCGACAGCAGCCATGGGAAAAAGGGAGGAGCCTCACGTGCTTTGAGGGCTTACCGAAGAGGCCATCGCTCTATGAGAAGAAAACCCATGAAGCATGTGAAAAGATACATCCGGGAGGTGGAGCACTTCTTGGGTGCGTCGCTAGAAACAGCTTACAGCCTGTCAGACTATTCGAGAAAGTTGAACTGGGGAAAACAACGCACTCTCCTGCGATGCCACTTTGCACTTTCAGAGATCCTGCAAACCTTGCTGAAGAATCGCCCGGACCAAGCTGCCCTCGAAGTAGTGCAGCTTCTCCGAGCTATCCATCAGACTGCGCTGGACCAAGGCTCATGGAAGGCGAGTTGGTTGCTGTTGAGGTACCAGGACCCGATAGAAGTTCCGAAGTTTGGGGGGGAGCCTCAAGATTTGGAGCTGGTGGCAGGGTACTTGAACGCCCTACAGAAGTTGGAGAAGAGATCGAAACACTTCAACAAGGGCGAGCACGAAGAAGAAGGCGGAAAGGGCAAAAAAGGGAAAGGCAACAAGAAGAAGCAGGAAGAGCCTCCAGAGTGAAAGTGAGTGGCCTGGCTGAATCACCTCCGAGCTGCACGACTCCGGAGCTTCCACAAGAGAAGCATGCAAAAGATAGGAGTCCTCTTTTTGGTTTAATTAACAGCACTCATGGATCCTTTGCCCGTTTTGCTAGGATCTATAGGTCTATACAGACAGGGGTAAGTACACCCAGTAAGCCTACTGGGACCACCACGTTGTTCCCGTCAATGCTGCCATGGACCAAGCCACCGGGTAAGTCTAAGCATGGACGAGGCCTCCGATCTGACCAAAAGTGGGAGGCTTTGGAGTGGATGCATTTGCTATGGTGCCTTTTCAATTTTTTAGAAAGTGGATCACCCAGCCGTAAGTTTGCTGCAAATGCCGCCATCTCACGCGCATCGCTAGGGGAGTGGACTGCCCTTCATGAAAGCTATGCGAGAGCAATGTACAAAAAAGTTTGTTGCTTTGTGACCCAACCTAGGGGGACCTTGGATAGGGGTTCGGCAAAACTTGATGAATTAATAAGTAGAATTCGTTTTAGCCAGTATGATCCTACTGTAGATCTTGATGAAGCTATGTGTGGCGCAATGCAAGTAAATCCTGACCGCATTTCAGTCCCAGATATTGCAGGTATCTTGGATCCTAGAGAACACCTGTCTCATGATCGTGTCACTGAATTTGAGTCGATGCCGCATGCCATTCCCATCCCCGGACCGGTACCGGGCGATTGCAAAGCCTGCCATAAAGTAGACCCGAAAGATTGGCCGCGTCTGTTGGGGAAGTTGCACAGTGCTCAGATGATCTCATTCGTGCCAGTGGACGAAGCCATCTATGAAGGGGATACGGTTATAAAAGGGGGGCTTTTTGGGGTGCCACACAAACCAGATTCAGACCGACTCATAAATGACCGGCGTCCGTTAAACCAAAGGGAAAGGCGTTTGAATTGGTGTGAACTTCCTTCAGGGGTAATGTTAAACCAAATAATTCTTGAGGACCATCAGAGCATAAGGGCTTCTGGAGATGATCTATCCAACTATTTCTATCTTATCAAGCACCTTGATGAGTGGCTCCCTCGTAATTGTTTTCGTCGTTCTATTTCAGGAAGTAAGCTGCGAGACCTGGGCCTGTCACCTTCGCTTAGGTATTACCCAGCCTTTAGAGTAGTGTGCATGGGCGACACAAACGGTGTCGATATTGCCCAGGCAACGCACGAAGGTGTCCTAAAAGCCGCTGGATGCCTAAAGCCGGATCAAACTCTCAGGTATGGTAAGCTTTTTCCCGCCTCAGATACACTTGAAGGACTCTACATAGACGACCATTTGGTTTTCCAAATTGTTGACAAGAAACCTTGGCGTGATAGGACACCCTATGAGGACGAAACCTTGATGGCCAGATCACGGGACAGGTACGCAGAACTAGGACTTCCCACTTCCCAGAAAAAGGCTTTTAATAAAGAATACACCTTTAAAGCGTGGGGTACGGAGGTGGATTCAAAAAGTGGCCGGGTGGGAACCCCACTAGTAAAACTAAGACAAATAGAATGGTTAGCTGTGGAGTTAGTTAGGCATAGGCGTGCCACTAAAAAATCTCTCCAAAAATTACTAGGCTTGTTTGTGCACCCATTCATGCACCGTCGTGAATGTATGAGTATTTTCCATCACACGTATCTTTATGTTGATAGCCTTCCTGAGGGTCGTCCTCATAAGTTGCCGCAATATATTTGTGATGAAATTCTCACAGCTGTGCTGTTGCTGCCACTTGCGACGGCCAACATCCGTAGGCCAGTTTCGACTCGTGTTTCAGCAACTGATGCCAGCCTAAGCGGTGGTGGAAGGGCCTCTACACTGACTAGTAAGATGTTTTCGAAACTGCTGTATCGCTTCAGCGAAGCTAAGGGGGAACACACAAGGCTTGACTGGGAGGACAGTCCACTGCCACCAGAGTCAAACATGACGCGTGCTCCCGATGCCGTTTTGCGTAGCCTTTCTAAACACCACTGGGTGGCCACACAGTCATGCCGCTTTGCAAGAAAAGATCATATCAACCTGCTTGAACTTGACATGCTCAAAGAAGAGATCAAAAGTCGTGTCAATGAGGGGCGTGGTGAATGTCGAGCGGTAAATTTGTGTGACAGCAGAGTAGTGGTAGGGGCCTTCGCAAAAGGTAGGAGCAGTTCAAAAAATATGAACCATGGCTTGAGAAGCTGTCTTCCTTGGCTGCTGACAGGTGATTTGCAGATGGTAAACCTTTGGGTAGATACTCATAGTAACCCTGCAGATTACCCCTCACGGTTTAAGCCTATCCCCAAACCTGTTCCATGCACCCATGATGACTTGCTGGAGAAAAGTATCTTAGAAGTGGTTCAAGAATATCGATCACCTGGACTCCAAGCGCTCCTTGAGCATGAGGCTCGGAAAAAGTGGAGTGATCCATCCTGGGAGACTTTTGCTTCATGGGATATAGACCCCGAGCCAAAAACTGACGCGCCGGTTCGGAACACCGACAAAAAAGCTGAACCAGCAGCTGATGTGCAGGCTGCCATGAGCGAAACATGCCAGGACTGGACTTTCCGAGAGATCTTTGCCGGTAGGGCGCGTTTGACTGAAGTCTTTAAAAGGCATAAAGGTTTCAAGGTGGACCCCCCTATAGAACTAAGGACCAATGCCCAGGTGAAAGAATCTCATGACCTACTGGATGATAAGGTTTTCAGGCAGTTGTTGAAAGATGCAAAGAGACCAAGACAGCTGTGGCATTTTGGGTTACCGTGTTGTTCCTTTTCCATACTGCAGCATGCAAACCATGGCACACGTAGGCGTCACTGCCCGGCAGGGGATGGAACCCTTAGCCGTGAGATCATAGGAAATGAACTACTAAGGCGGACTCTTTGTCTAATAAAGGCCCTTGAGTCAGTGGGAAACCTTTGGACGCTGGAAAACCCTGCCTCTTCGTATGTTTGGGTCATGCCTGAAATGTGCAAAAAGTTGACATGTAAGGAAGTTCATAGTGTTGACATGCACCAATGTTCTTATGGGTTGAAACTGCGTGATGAACATGGGAAGCTAGGACCATGCCGGAAGCACACCCAGTTTGTCGGTAACTTGAAAGACTTGCCACTGCTCGAAAAACACTGCAGTTGCCGTTCAAGGCATGTGCATGCGGTCGGGGGAGTGCGCACGAAGCAAGGGTGGAAACGTAGATCAGAGCTCGCAGGGCACTATCCCTTTGCCTTGTGCAACAGATATGTCACCATAGCCAGCCGCATTTTGCCACTGATGAAGCACTTGGAAAACTGATTTGCAGTAGGATGTTTTTGCATGACTTAGTTTTTTACTATACTCTGGCTGCTTGCTTGCATGTAGTTTTTTAGACTGATGGCCGGCCGCCCCTGCTGAAGCATGAGAGATGGAATAGATGCCTCATCCGCTGCCTTTCGAATCAGCAGATTTTCAAAGCCATACAGACAGAGATTACTGGCTGGGTTCCGAGACCTCCATGACTATACCTGGAGCTACCTCAAAAAGCCACTGGGATCTGTGATTTCTAATGCAGCTTGTGCAGATGAGGTCCTGTCACAATATGTCATGCACCGTCATGCAAACATGGACGGGAAACGTCTTTATGTAGTGAAGCATGCGCTCTTATGTTGTCAGCACGTGCAGCCAAAGATAAGAGGAAAAATTGCAACTGCCTGGGATACGCTGAGAGTTTGGGAGGAGCAAAGAAGCAACGCTCTTAGACCCCCCCTGCCAGTGCCTTTATGGTTGTTGATGATCGGGCTGTCAAGGGCCCAGGCAGCAGTTAACGCCGCACCTTTGGAACGTGAGAAGTGGACTATTTTTGCTACCCTGCTGGAAGTTGGCCTTTTATGCATGTTCAGACCGGGTGAGCTTCTGAAGTTGAGGCATTCAGACTTTTCAATGCCAGGAAATTTCACTTTTAGTCAGCCTTTTGCCGCCATCAGAGTGGCCAGTCCGAAAAATAGGCGGCAGTTTGGGCTGGAACAATTTGTGCTCCTGCGTAACCCCTGCACTGTGGAACGACTCCGAGAGATTCTAAAAGAAGGGTTGGACAAACCCCTTTGGAAGAGCACTTCAAACCAGTTTAGTCAAATGTTCCGGAAGGTATGCAAGGATCTAAAGATTTCTGACTGCCACTTCACCCCGGGGAGTTTGAGACCGGGAGGAGCCACCATGTACTATAGCAGAGGTATTCCCATCAGCACGTTGCGTTTCATGGGTAGATGGTCGGTTGAAAGATCCCTGGAGCACTATATTCAGCTTGCTATGTCTACTCAGATCATGAACAAGCTTTCAACCGCGGCCGTGGCTCTGTTGAAGAAGGTAGCAGGTCCGTGTTTGGAGTTGGTAGTTCCTGATGATTTTCATGCTCTGCTGCCCAATTTAAAAAGAAGGGATTACAAGTCAAGTTCGGCAATCGCTTCCTGGTGCAGCAAATATGCTAGCCTTGAAGGGGAAACATGGTAAGCGATTGGTTGCTGGGGGCGCTTTCAAGGGCGCCGTCTTCGAAGAGCTGTCATATGATCAGCTTCAGCGGGCTGCGAAAAGATATCCGAGTGATGTTCAACTCCAGAAGTACGCCAAGATGGTGGTGGCTGCAAAAGAGCTGGAGGGCATTGCGGATCCAGCCCCTTGTCAGCCGCTGATGTTGCGTGACAGCCCATCGGCTCTCAGTTCGGACGCGGAGCGTCTGCCGTTGAAAAAACTGGTGATTGCCTACATTTACAAACTGACCTTGAACCGGGTTATCTTGCTGGTGATGTTGATTGTGACACTGCTGGTGCTTTTCAAACCGTCACTGGCAATTGCAGTTACAAAAGTTCTGGTGAGATTGTTGCGCCTCACCCTGAGGCGGATGACTGGTTTTTTGGTTTTGTTGATGGAAGGACTTTTGACTGAGGTGATTTACCAGATTGAGTTTGCCTTGCGGCAACTGCTTCCGCATCCAATTGATTTCGAACAGTTTGCAAGCGCCCCTTTTGAGATGTTGTCACATGTACTCTCTGCACTTGCAGGAGCAGCTGTTTCATCGCTGGCCACATATATCAGCAATCGAAACCGCTATATCAACATCCCAACCATTGACTAGCAATGGATGCACCTCCGTTGTGGTTGCTTGTAATCCACCACCTCCCCTGCCACCTCACAATGGTGGTTTTGGACCTTTTTTGAAAGAGATATCATTCAGAGACCATGCAGCTTGTCGACATTGCCTGGCACTGAATTTTCCTTTCAATTTGCATGTCTGCGGCATGCACTCACAAACCGCTATCGACCCCTCGTGCACGAGTCAAAAAGGTTTGGCTTGCACTTGAGTTGGTGGCGAAAGGGGATCTCACAGAAACGAGAGAAACATGAACCGCATGTTTTGTACGTTTGCTTGAGGCTCAATGGGGCCTCCTCCACCCCACCTCCACCTGTTTTCTTTGGTGGGGACCTTTTTTGAAAGAGATATCATTCAGAGACCATGCAGCTTGTCGACATTGCCTGGCACTGAATTTTCCTTTCAATTTGCATGTCTGCGGCATGCACTCACAAACCGCTATCGACCCCTCGTGCACGAGTCAAAAAGGTTTGGCTTGCACTTGAGTTGGTGGCGAAAGGGGATCGCACAGAAACGAGAGAAACATATATGTGTATATATATATACACATACATATGCATATATACATATATATATATATACACATAATTCTATGATATGACATATGCATATACATGTACAACCGATACACATACACATACACATACACATACATATACATATACATATACAAAATGTCTACATATACATTTTCATATACATATACCTTTACATATACATATACATATACACATGCACATGCACATGCACATGCACATGCGCATACAGATACAGATACACAGACATACAGATACACATACATACAGATATACATATACAGTATATACAGTATATACACATGTATATATATATATATACATACACATATACACATACATACACATACACATACCCATACACGTGTACATATACATATAGATATACACATATTCACATATATGCATATATGACTAGATATACAAGGTAGTTATACATAAACAATGAATAAATTTGTGAACAATTCCAAGGCACATTTGTACGAACCGCTATGCACACGATTTCATTTGAACAATGAATAGCAGTGGTAGGTGCATTGAGGTTACTTTACTTTACCTGGATCGAGTCTTTTACTCTTGGAATCAGGAATAGCAAGTTCCCGCTCTACTGGAGCCCCGCTTTGGTGGCATTGCGGGCTTTGGGGACTTTGCTGTCTGCCTCCTTTTCAGAGTGTTTGTTGGAAGTGTACGTCCTTCGTTTAAAAAATGTGGAAATTGAAGTACTTCCACGGTGATTGTGTTTGCTTCCCAGTGATTCGGATCTCTGGCATCCCTGCAATTGTAAGCATTGTAAGCTGCATCATTCTTGTATTCAGTCAGTATCCAGTTGAATGTGACATGGCGACACGGAGCTTGACGTTGCACGGCCTTTCACGAGGAGCCCTAGATACCTAAGCGATACACGGAGTACAGTGCTTCTAGGCTCGCTGCGAATGCGGCAACTGTGCTTTGGCTCCAGTTTGCGGTTCCAGTTTTGAGATTCTTTGAGATCACTTTGTCCCAAATTGTCTTTAGATTATTTGTAATGCTTCCAACCTGGGCTTCCTAGGCGTGTGCAGCCCAATGCTGGCTGTATTGTGACAGCGCTTGTGCGGCATGTCTATCCGGTCTTTCGGCTGCTCAGGGGTGGATTTATCCAAAATCAATACTTTGTTTGCTAGCTTCGGTATGCTTCGGTATGCTTCGGTATGCTTCGGTATGCTTCGGTATGCTTTGGTATGCTTCGGTATGCTTGCCGCTGCAAGCTCGTTCGACCATTCCACTGAATCCATTTTCAGTGTGTTTGTCGGCCACGAAGGACTGTTATTCCACCTATGATGCCAGCCGAGAGAGTCAGGCCCTCCTTTTAGACATCCTATAACATCCTAATTTTGCATCATTTTGCTAGGGCCAGGCAACAGAGCAATGGGCAGCGAAGATTATTTATCACACAGGGCTGATGCCTTTGCCTTCCTGGTGTGACTTTCCTCCACTTTCCAGGATCCATATGATCCGCGGTTTGCTCCGACATACCTGACAAAGGCTGCTTGCTCATATATGATGCAAGCCTTTGGCGAATCGGATTCATTGGAAAGCCAATATTCAGTGAGATAAACAAGGGTGCAAGCTTGGAGCGATGGTAGTTTGCAAAGATGATTGTGTAGATGCTCTATGATTCAGCTTCCTTTGGCCTTTCTGCCTCCCAATTCTGTTTCAACCGTTTTTGCCTGGCTTCAGTTCTGTTCTTGTCGTTTGGACAGCGCAGAACCCGTGGAAGGCATATCAATGGCGACCTGTAGAAGAAACTCAGCAGGTTTCCCTCACAGGATCCGCAGCTTCTTACTCAGGCGTGAAGCAGTTTGAGCCATTCAATAGTCAGTGGTGCAGCCTTGTGCAGCACTGTGATACACTGTGTATCTGTGTGGTATGTACTTCCGATACACATGGTGACAGCCTGCTCACGTTTGCAACCACAATCGCTTCTTTCGTTTCAGGCTCAGGGTACTTTATTGACCTGCCGGCCAACAAGTCTCATGCTTCCAGCATGCTCAGCGACCTACATGTTTGGCGGTGGGTCGACAAACTAACCCGTGCGTTCCTTGCCTGAGAAAGACCTGCATCAAAACAACGGCGAGAAGTGTGCCACAGGTTTTTCACACACACAAACGCATGTTGCATCACATTTTGTGGTATTCATCCCTCGACGTCGTTGTCCCTTTTCTTTGACCATTGTTTCATCTTCGGTTTGATAAAGACCGGGATTCCATGAAATTTGCTGAGGGTTACTATCGAGTTGACAACAATGAGTACGAATGTGAATGTGATCGTCGCAGCCTCAGAGTTGCTTGAAGAGCCTGGTCTGAGAATGTCATGTAGCAGGGTCTGGATTTGACTGAGTTGAGTAAATGTTGTGAGAATGTGCAATTTGCCGACCTTCCGATCCTTGTTCGCCTTTCCGCTTTTTTGTTTCAAGATGCCTTTCCAGGTGAATACGGTTCCTTAGCTGCAAGCACGGCAAACAGTGCATTTCTCCAGTGAGAAACCTTGAACAGCTTTGCCCAATCTGCCATTTAGAGCATATACTCCAGCGCAGAATCTTGAAATTGAATCCAATTCCGTTTGTATGCTGAACTTCACGGACTCTATACATCTCTTTCCCAGATGTTTCCCAAAAACATCCTGTTAAATGCAGTGTTTTTGTCGTTGCGACGTACCGAATTACATTCTTAAGTGCTGCTTAAGCTTACTCGCTCTCCGCGTAAAGCAAGTATGAGTACCAGCAGCTTGCGCCTGTTTGCGCCTGCTCTTGTATCGTGTTGTGAAATGTGTCAAGAAGGACGGACCCCCCATGCTCTGTTTCGACGACAAGCACAGTGAATTCATGTAATTCTTCGTGGTCCTTTTAAGGCTTGTTCTTTGGAAGGATCGGGACAAGTTGGTATCATTTGAGATTTGAAGAGAAACGGACTGGAAATTCAAAGCGTTTGATGAGTCCAAGGTTTTCCAACTATTTGCTTCCAGTCCCGTTGCAATTTCTCTGGCCTTGGGTTGAACTCAGGTGATACTTTTCGAATTCACTCCAAACGGAGCGGTGACAGGCACTGCACAGGACTCAGCAAAGAATTCCACAGGAGCGGCGGGAGCGGCCTCAAACTTGGCAATCTCTTTAGCATTTTTTAACTAGATGATGATGTGAAGATGTTGAATTTGCCCTCAGGATCTGCTTGGTGACTGAGGTGTCCAGCACAGCTATGCGGACCTTTTTCTTCACACCATCACTCCAGGGATCGAACCTTTTCGCTTTTATTCTTCTCATTTGGTCATGGCCTTAGTGACGCTTAGTGGACGAGTCCAGGACTTCGAACAAGGCATAGCAAGGCCTTTTCGAGCTTGTGCCAAATTACACGTGCCTCATGCGAAAGTGATGTGTGTCGCAGCTGTGTGTCCAAAATTTCTAAGGCTGTCATTGATGTTCTTCATTTTCACACTGTACTCTTTGTGGCTAATGTACAAGAGCCTTGGAAGCAAATAAAAGCCTTTCAAATATATGTAAACCGTGCAGTTTTCCTACAATAATGCGTTCATGTCATGTTCAAGGCATGACTGTCACATCGCACCTGAGGACCTGCTTCAATTATCTGGGTCAGAATCCGATAGGATATTTGAAACGCTCTGGGTGGACTGCACCTTGGATTCCACGGATCTTGGTGCTCTTTGTGCTTTTACCATCGTTTACATTTTTAAAATAGACTGTTAGCTCTCCTGGCCTTTTGTAAGCTAGCCCACATCATCCCAAGGACATCTGCAAATCTCACATCACAGGTGTGCTTCAAAAGATGTGTGATTTGCCTTGCAGGCAAGACTCCTATTTCCATTCAGAACGTTGTATCAGTTCTTCCGATATGGATGGAATTTTGCAGATATGGTCGGATGCCCAGAGATCAAGAATGTACCTGTGCCCAAGAGTTATGTTCTCCTCCATAGCTTATTCTAATGATTTTTAAACTTGAAAAAATGCAAAAAAAGGAAAACACATGGAAAATCAAAAAGCAAAACTTCAAAACTGAAAAAACCGGAAGCAAAATCTATGGGGAAAAAAGGAACGTCAAAAAGGGAAAGACATGGGGAAAAAATGGACTTGTCCATTCGCATTTTTTTTGCATTTATTTTGCTTTTTCGATTTGCTTTTTTTTTTTGGGGGGGCTTTTTGCCTGGAAAAAAGCAGAGAAAAGCAAAATAAACGCAAAAGCAAAAAGCAAATCGAAAAAGCAAAATAAATGCAAATGGACAAGTCCATTTTTTTCCAATTTTTTCCCTTTTTGACTTTCCTTTTTTTCCCCTTTTATTTTGCTTTTGTGTTTTTTTGATTTTTTTGCTGATTTGCTTTTTGTTTTTTCCATTTTTTTTGCATTTGTCTCGTTTTTTTCTCAAGTTTGTTGATTCTTAGAATAAGCTATGGTCTGGTGAACATAACCCAACTCTCCAAATGAGCAGTTGCTAAGTGGACAATGGAAAGATTCTATTGGACTTCAAGACCACAGATTCTATTTTGTTTGCAGAGAATTAACTTGTAATTAGTTAATGTTGATTAGCACTCAGGTCATCTTGGGCTCTTTTTATGTGCATTTGGGTTCCTCGTCGGCACATATTCTCAGAGGTTGGTTGAGCACTTTCAGAGCCTCAGGATTCCGGATCAGTGCCTATCTGGCTGTAGGGAGCAATCCCGTTTTACAGCCGGATGTGATTGGGCACCCCGAAATCTTCATGCGGCTTGGGCTGCGATTGCTGTTTGGCATGCGGACATGGAAGAATGGCGTACTGCACAAAAGGAAACTAGAGCATTTGGATAACAACAAGTAGATCTATCTATCTAACTATCTATCTATCTATCTATCTATCTCTCTATCTATCTCTCTATCTATCTCTCTATCTATCTCTCTATCTATCTCTCTATCTATCTCTCTATCTATCTCTCTATCTATCTCTATCTATCTCTATCTATCTCTATCTATCTCTATCTATCTCTATCTATCCCTATCAATCTCTATCTATCTCTATCTATCTCTATCTATCTCTATCTATCT